AAAAAAAACGCTGCTCATTTGATTCTCCATGATTAAGGGGGATATTACCCCAATATAACCCTAATATTATAGTAGCTTTCCATTTTCTTTTCCATTATCCCAATATTAACTACTATAAGGGGTAGCTCATCCCTACTCGCCAAATTTTGCCAAGCCTGTCGCAACTCGGGCTCCGGAATGTGCCACGGATGCTTCGCATCGTAGTCCTGCTCTACTTAGACTCAGGGCGTATTGTTACCGAGACTTCCCAAATGCCCACAACCATGGGCTTTTATAACGGCTTTTCGCTCCTAAAGGGTTGATGTGTAGGTCTGTTCTTGGTATTGGGGGGGTCTACCACAAGGGCCTGAATAATTACCAATATCATTGTGTGGTCCATTTGAGGTACCTTGGACCATAATTATATAACGCATATGGAACCATAGTATTCGTAATCATTTAGGCCCGTAGACTTGGTACCTAAGGCTTTTGCGTTCAGGGCTTGGCTTGAGGGATTACCTGAACCCCAAAAGTGTGCAAAATAATTGCATTTGGGCTGTTTTTAAGGATTTAAGGCTATTATTTTACCTACTTTTGGGGTCCAGGTAGGGGGTAGTGGCATGTGAGGACAAATTCGGAAAGGTACCACGCATGCGTAACGAAGGAGTTACGAAGTGGCTTCTAACGACATCCGGGAGGCCCAACAGTAGTTTAGGGTTTAGGGTTTAGGGTAGGTAAAACAATGGCACAAAATGACCCTAAATAGACCAAAAGGCCATGATTCTACATGTTTGTGGGGGTTTGCGATGGGGCAAGTACTGACATGCCGTATTTGCAAGTACAGCTCTATCGTCATCCAGCCGCGCTTAGCTGCTTCAAGCCTTCAAGATTCTTATCCCCTCGTTGCTATTCGTACTCTCCCCTGTGCAAAAGCTTTGCTGATGCGCAATTACTGCGCAATTGCGCAATTCGATGTCTTTGTCACGCTATTATCATCAGACTTGGGGCGCCATATGCAGCAGCTTGGACGAACAAATGGGCAAACTACATTGGCAGCTTTTTTGCAAATCTATACGGGCTTCTTTATGATGTGAAATGGGGTCTTCCAGAAATGAGGGCCCATTAGGACATAGGACATAGGCATCTCCAGAGACAGGGCCTTAGTTCTGGACATCCTTATATCTAGATGGCTGATACAGAAAGTGCGGTGCACATCCTACAGTCACAATGGGGGCCTTCCCACGCTGAGGTAAAGTCACAACCCAAATGGATTGCCATCCCGAAGTACCTAGAGGTTTAGGTTATATACTTGCAACCCTATAACCCAATCTTACGCCCCTAGGTTCGGTAAAAGGGGTATGACTGCGTTATAATAACAATTACCTAGACCCCCAAAGTATGTAGAAAAATTGGCCCTGTTGGCTATTTAGGGGGATTTGGGGCCATTCTCTCACCTACTTTTGGGGTCCAGGTACTTGGCGGATTACATTTACCCTGAACTTTCAATCAGAGGCCTGCAACCCCGAAGCTGCAAAAGCGTGCTCCCTAACATGATTTGCTAACTTAACTTAAGTTACCATAATATGATGGCCCTATCGTTTACCATATACCGAAATAAACGTAAGTTAAGCCCGGAATCCTCTACATATATATATATATATCTATGTATTTATCTTTGTTAATATTGTGGTAACTTAGTATAAATTCCTTGCTTGACAGCGGGCTGGAAAGCGAGACCCAAGCCAAACAAAACCCGGCGAGAACTTCTCTCTCACTGCCAGCTGCAAGGGTGGTTTAGGGTTTAGGGTTGTGGAAGGGTAGGTTGATCAGGTACCTAAGGAGAACTTGTAAACCATGATTTAAAATTCCATAACTTCTGGATCCATGCTTTTCGGTTGTGGACACCTAGAACTCAATTCCAGCTCCCCAACTCAAACCTGAAACTCGAAGACCCCAGACCTAGCAGACCTGTGGATCCCCACGCTTCCCAAACCCCCGAAACCCCTAAACTCTCCAACCCTAAACCCTAACCCCTAAAACCCGAAACCCTAAACCCCAAAAAAGTCCTAAACCCAAACTCCAAAAAACCCTAAACCCCAAAACAACCTAAACCCCCGAAAACCCTAAACAATTCCGGCTCAGCTCCTCCTTGAGCGCTGTTGCTTCGGTGAGCCGATGTTGCTTACGGTCGATCTTGAGCTCTGAAGACTGGGCAGGGCCCAGGGTTTAGGGTTACCATAATGGGTATTCATAGTAAATAATAGGGTGTCCCCAATATAGTGACTTAAATTCAGTT